CGGCCAGCGGAGGGCGGAGAGGCGCGCCGTGGAACAGCATCAACAAGGGCTTCGCTTCCTGCCGCCGCAGCCCGGTTTGCTGTTCCCCAGCCGGGAAAGGGCCCCGCCGGCAGGGAGGGAGGGAGGGAGGCTGGGAGGTGTCCACGCTTGGGGCCCCAGGGAAGGAAAAGGTATTTGCACCAACCTGGTGATGGCGATCCTGAGACGGCCCGCGCAGCGCAGAGCTGAGCGCAGGAGACAGACCTAGGGGAGCTGAGGTGTCTGTGCGAAGAGGGAAAGGACCCCAGATCCGGGCGCGGCGGGGACTGGTGGCCTGAGGTCTCGCAGGGGAATGGAATTTCGTCGCTTGGACAGCCACCAGCCCTTTGGGGTTTTCATAGCAATGTCTAAATTGAGTTGGCCAAAGGGCTATCAAATTCATTTCTTAATTAGGAAATGGCAGACCATATTGTAAAAACCTCAAGTTATTGGTTGTTTTCATTAAAGTACCTTCTCACCCCTTTCCCTTTCCCTTCCCGGGTTCCCAACCAACGTCTTTTAGAGGTTGAAAATTAAAAACAAAAATCTTCCTGATTGTGCTCGGCTGGCCCGGTTTATTCGGAGTGGGAGATAGAAGACAGTTTAAAAATTGGATCATGTGAATCCACCTAGCTGTTTTAGAGGGGAAAAAGAAAAAAACAAACCTAAACACTCTTCCAAGCAGTTTTTCGTTTTTTACCTTTGGATTTAGGCAAGGATGGAGAAAGAACACATTTAATTGAATTTTTGCTATTCTGTTCACAGAGCCAAAAGTTTCCATTGCAAAAACTGAAAATCCTCACCTACACCGCAGACCGTTTCCTGACTCTAATAGACTTCTGAGAAATTTTTAATCAAGTTATTAAAATATCAATTGGAGTGCAGGGTATGCATGTTGGAAATAATTTTATTCTCATGTGGGATATTGATGCCAGCAGCCACCTGGGCAACGTTTTTAAGCTGTTTGACTTGGTTTCGTTTTTGTTATTTTATCTACAGTTGTATTTATATACAATTTATAGAGCCTTTTTCCCAGGAATTCAGGCAATCATCTGGACTTGGAGTGCTGGGGATGGCAAACTCCCAGCAAGGGAGGCCCCAGTACAGGTGTCTCTAGGGTGAGGCCCTTCACAAAGCTTTACCTGCAGACCCAGAACTTAAACTTATGTTATCAGAATCTACCTGCCTTTCTATCTGAATATGTGATTTAGATTGCTCAATTATCTTTGCTGTATTCTGCTTAGTAATCAATCAATTCTGTCAACATTTTCTTCCTGTCAGAGGTAAGAAAACTTTTTAGAGCCACCCCAAGATGGAAAAGCAGAACAGGAAACTACCTTCAAATATCCATCACCACTGTATGCTTTTGAAACGAGTCCCAAGGGAAGTCCCTTCATAACTGGTCAGAGCCCTACTTATTTAAGAGAGGAAGACTTAAACCCCACTCTGCCCAACAGGCCAGGGCCTAGGTCAAGGCTTTTGAATCCCAGTAGGAGTAAGCACCTGTTGGAGAACTACCCCCTCCATTTGTCAACATATAATGCCAGAAGAGGAAATTGCAAAGCACCAGGCAGAACCCCAATACTAAAAAAAGTTGAGTGAATCACTCTGACCATATTCCTTTTCCCCAGACCTATGTAATCATTCAACAAATTTAGGGTTTAGGAAATCCCCAGTTGCTGTTATGACCCTAATTAAGAAGTCAAGAAGTGGCAAGGCCTCTTCCTCTTTTTTTTCTTAATACAAGTGCTTCTTTGTATATGTTAATCACATTTCCCCTGGTAAGGTAAGAGCAAAGTGAAGAGGGGTACCCCAAAGTGTGACGACCTAGACTGTCAATTCTCTTACATTGGGATTCTTTGGGTTCAGGCCCCACCCCATCAGGCCCTGCAACAAGCAGCGATTATATCTAAATGGACATTTGAAAATTCAGTGGTCCCCCGCCATGTCCTTTTACAGAGACACATCTTTTGAAAAACTGCTTAGATGGATAGTTTTCAATGCCATGTTTTGCAATAGCATAGAAACTTAGAATTTCATTTTGTCCCTTAAAATTTCGGTGACTAAAAACACAAATTAATTAGTAAAAAGTGTTTTCTCATTTCTGATCACAAAATACAATATAACCTGTATGATATTGAGGGTTAACAAAAATAACTATTATGATCATTGTGTCTTTAGTAAATTACATGCTACCACTAGTTCCAATGATATTTCTTTCTGTGGTCATTAATGTCTCAATTGCCTCCCCTTATATTTGATATTTGAAATAGTATCATGTTATATTTTAAAAACCACTCCATCACCCAAACATATACCTTCATAAACCTTTCTCTGTGCGCAATAAAAAGTGACACTTTAAGCCATAAAATTTGGAAATTTCCTCTCATTGGAAATTACAATAGGATTATGGAACAAAACATAAAGCAGCTTTAGTAGTTTGTAGAATTTCTTTGTATTACTTCCCAATCATATCACGTTCCTGAGTTACTTGATTAAAATTTCACAAGAACCCAGATTCAACTACAAGGTTGTACAGATTACACAATAGGGTGGCAGTTTTTATATTGATGGCGTGTTCTTTAACCCCTCCTGGACCTGTTTCGGCACTTAGTGAATTGCGTTGCTGGATCTACCTCAAATAAAAGAGGTTCAAATATCAACCACTGAAAAAGAATTAAAGTCATACAAAACAGAGGAATATGTTGTCACAAGACCTACAGAATCTTTGTCATTGTAGTACAATTGAGGCTGTTAAAATTTTAGTCACACGTATATTGTAAAGAACTTGCTAAACAAATACAAAATCTGAAAGGAAAATTTCCAGAGTGACTTAAGTCATGAACAAAAAAATAAGTTTAGACCACAAATTATCTTTGCCCCACCTTGGGAGCACTCAATAATAATGGAGACTTGATAGTGGTGAGAAATAGCAGTGACTGACTGAATTTGTGCTGAAATTATAACCAAAGTCCTATTTGATTATATTTATGTGTCACTCTGCCCTTAGAACATGTTTTAGCAAATATTTCTGAGGGCAAAGTTAGTTTCAGTAGTTTTCCCATCAAGTTTAGAACATTCTTATTCCTTACATCTTTCAAAGTGCCTAAATTTGATAATCAGGCATCTAATTCACTTTGATGAAGTCCTTCTGTGCTTTATGACTTGGTCTGACTCAAAGTTTTCCTGAGGTCTTCTGGAAACCAGTTCAGTCTCTCAAAATCTAGAATAACTGCAGGTTCTGAGCTATGGTGCAATCAGCTTGGATCTGGAGGACCTAGAGGGCAGTGCGAAGGAGGTAAATACCAGAGAAACTCAAAAGTGGATTAAGAAGGAACAATTTTAATGAGAACATAGAAATCCCTGAGCCCATTAATCCAAGACAGGAAGGAAGATGTCTGTAGATCATCTCAACAGTGGGCAGGTTAGACTTATGCAAACTGCACACAAGTCATTCATACCAGCCTTGAGACCACCACTTTAGGTTTGCAAGATGCTCTTTCTATATCCAATCATAATATGTATTGGGTCTGGTACCCCCACCTCAGCTGTAATATTAGTTTGACCAAGAACAGGAATGAGAAATTGTTTTACAATTTCTTATTACTCTTTCTCTTAATTCAGGGAATTTTAACCTGAGGTCCATGTGTTTGTTTCAAGGCATCTGTGATCTCTCTAAACGTGTATACAAATTTTTGCAAACTGGTACTTTTATGCATCTTTTTCTTTAGAGTGAAGGTCTTTAAAGTTCATAAGATTTCTGGGGAAAAATAATATCTATAACCCAGAAAAGAAAAATAATCATCCCTCTATATGAAGTAAATCCATTATTTCCTCTTTCCACACATGGGTTCTAGGAACTATAGTAGGTACAGGAAATACGAAGATATTACAAAGATGAGTATAAGAAGTCAACTCTCAGCCTGAGAGGGGACATGACTTGTAAGCAAACACATGCATCGTAACAGGTGCTGTTCTAGAGTTCTGTACAGGTATCTAGAAGGACATCATGCTTTTGCTTTCTTAGTGAGCTAATAGAAGGGAAGAGGAAGGAATCCCACTCGACACACATCATCCCTTCTTCTCTGCCCCCACAGCTGGTATCTCTTCACTCCAAACCATTTCCTGCAGTGCTTAAAAGTGCTAGACGTTTGCAGGTCAAAGTCCTACATACAAATGTTTACATTTGTATCACAGCTATTGTGTGTTGATACAAATATCCCAAGAAATACCTGAGCTTCATTGGACTTTGTCAGTGAATGGTCAAAGAAACACTGTTTGTCCTTTTTTCAGCTTTGCTGAAGATTATGGCTAAATACTTAGGTTAAGGATGCATTGATAAAATAGTTGAATTGGTCATCCACAACTAAGCCCCAGAATCGAAGGGCTAAGTTGAAGTTACTGGATAAACGAGACTAACTTTAGAAATAACATATTCCACCCAAGAAGCACTTGTTTTGGCTGAATCAGGAAATGTGGACTGCTCCAAACAGGGAAGAGGTATGCAAGGGATCTGCCCACAGGTGTTAGAATCTAATTACAAAATACGAAGCTGAGAGAGAATATTTATTTATTAATTCATTCAATTTCTCTACCTTCAAAAATCTTACTTATCCTTCAAAGTCCAACTCAGATATTACTTCGTCTGCAAATTCATCCTGAGCCTTTCCAAGCAATATGACTTGTTCTCTCCTCTGGATTTCCATAGCATTGTGTCCATACTGTTGGTATAGCTATCATCACAGTGAATTACTGTTCATGGT